ACGATGCCATCGTGGTTTATGATCGGGCGCGAGGAAAAGAAATTTTAGCCAAAAGTTTATGGTCGTTTCAATTCCGATTTCTTTTCAAAAGGCTAATCTTGTCACGAAAAGAAGGGCAAGTTTTAGGGATATAGGTTAAAACAAAACTCCCTGCTACACCACAGTGTTGACACGACAGACAGGCCCGGTGTTTCCGACTGTAATTCAAACGTAGAACGAATCGTAAAAAAAAAAATTAAGCGTTTACATTTCCATACTATATTTGACGTTTCGACTAGATTTTGCTGCCGGACGGATTTCTATGGTGGAAAAATCCAAAACTTTTTGTGTTTTTTTTTATATTCCGTTGAGGGAACGGGGTTCAACGGTAAGAGGGTTTAACGGTAAGAGGCATGGAACGGGACTTCGGGTTGGTATTCTGAATGGCCACCTGAACGTTAAAACCTCTCTGTGCGCGGTCAATTCATTTTTAAACACCATAAAAACCACATGTGTATTCCCAAACTTTTAATCAAAGAAAAGATTCTTCCGACCTTGTCAGCTATTGAGTCATCTCACATCTATTGATTGGAATCCCGATAGAATTCAATGGGTCTGCTGATATTTATGGAGCAATGAAATGCCCGTGATTACACAGCTCGGGAGTAAGGACCTTGAGAATGCAACGGTTTTAAGGCTATCCAGTATGCGAGATATGGTGACTGGGCCCAAAGATTGAAACATTTTAACTTTTGCACACAGAGATTGGAACAAGAAAGTGGCGTAAAAGAACTTCCTGTTAAACCTGTCTAATGGACAGAGAGGTAATCAGTACTCAGCAGACCACTACAGTGGTGAAAGCGGAGGTGAGAGATTACCGTGCACGTCGTAAATAAAAGAAAGTAATTAGGTAAGTAGATATGAAATGTGGTGAGAGCCAATATGAAAACCAAGCCAATTGGTTACCATAATCAGAAACCGATCTCCCAAACAAGGTTACCTCTGATCACAGCTGGAAGTATGAGGATTCCCTTCTTCTGGCATTGTCCTTGAGAGTTGCCAGAGAACACACAGCAACTGAGGAATTTCAATCAAGTTTGCCAAGTAGTCATTGATTTTTAAGTACTATATTCATTGACTGAGCAAACCTTCAAGTAAATAAAATCTTTGTAATACAGGCAATTGCATAACAGTCTTTGTGGCCTTGTCTATCTTGTAGAAATAAGAAAATATAATGTATAGTTCTGACTATATCAAGCTTTTATACCTACAAGTAAGATGATCTGTAAGTATTCTATCAGTAAGCTAATGAATAATATGTCTGTGCTTGCTCCAACTTGGTCAGACAAAAAGGTTTTAGACACATAGGGATCGCCTTCAATGTACTGACCCCTCAGGACAATCTAGATTATAATAATAAATTACCTTGACTTCAGCCCCAAACTCACCTAGTACAACACACCAATGCCCCCCTATTCGAGTCCCAACCGTTCCATCCCACTCTCTAACATACAACTCCATCAGTATAAATCAAGACTCGCCGGTTGACTGTCAAACCCTTTTTGTACTGAGAATCCATGAGAGATCTAGAAGGGGGAAGTTCGGAGGGAGAAGTCGTGCGCTCTGCCAGTTGGAGACGAAGGATTGGGTAAGGAAGGAATTAGAGGATGTTTATTAGAATTTAGGGGGGATTTTGAGGGACTTTGCTTACGACAGCGCCATAGGTCATTTGGCGATTGAATGGTTTCGTAACCCCGCACCCCCTATTCAAGTATATGTCGTGGCGTACAGGGTCAATGAATGCAGGTGGCGGCGCTGCTCCCCACTAAAACGCCACTACCATAAGGCATGGCATGGCATTGTGCGTTGAACATGGCCGCTTCGTTTGATCATAGGCAGGGGATTGAACGAAAGTTTCATCGCTGATCTTTTAGCATATATACCGCTTTAGCAAATCACCAGGAAACCGACAGTGATCGCGCCGATAGTGATACGCTCGTCAAGTGATCCTCGATCGACAACCGGACTACGCGTTTTCCCATTCATTTGAACCGTGGGGGTGATGACTATAGTTCATGCGCGTCTTGTTGGCAGTAACTGTAAAAAAACACGTTGCAGTTGTGATTGCGCCGCGACGGGATAGAGATCTTTTTTTTTTTTTCGGAATGACGTACCGCGCGCCGGCGCGGAACTTGTTTTCGACCTACGTTCTCTCTGTCATGCATTCAATTCAATTGGCTGGATACAAATCGGAAAAAACTCGATAGGACTTCTGTTCCGGCTACTTACTGGGGTCGGCTTCGTTATGTTCTATGCAGCTTCCATCCCCTCTTGCGGTTGTGGGTTGAGTCATCGAAGGAGCGGGAAGTCAGTAATTCATGCGCACGGGTCATCGTTGAGACTTGATGCATGATTCTGTCATTTTGTAGTTTTTCAGGGGAGTTCCAGTGATCCGACCGACCGAATGCTATCAACGTTGCTGTTTTATATTATTATAGGGTCTTTATCAGCAAAAGCTAAGCGAAGAAAGGATTAATAAACGTCAAAATGCTCACTGCTTAGGCTTCTAGTTGCCTCTGCTCTCCGTCCATCGGGATCTCGAGTCGAACCTTCTGGGTGGCCAATCTTGTTAGGCTCATCATGATTGGAAAGGCGAGTTTTTTCGGTCACTCTTATGAGCTTTTCAACACGCTTCGTCCACGATATCCGCACGTTCTCGACACGGGTTTCCGGATCCACACTTTCCGTATGGTCCGAAATTCCTGAAATCTTCGTCCTGAGGGCTGTAGTTTGAGTCAGTCAGACTGTCTGGCAAGAACATAAGGTCACCAGAGCGAACTTCTCGCGGTGTTCGTTCATGATACCCTACGAACAAAGCGCGTGTTCTATAGCCACTACCATAGGCCCAGGGATCAATCGATTGTACACCAGTCCAGAAAAGGATATAGAATCACTCGCATCAGAAATGGATAAGTTCCTCCGGCACATGCACAAATTCCACATGTTTTGCCACTTGACATGGTCAGAAAACTTGTTAGCTCGATGGGATGCGATTGAGAGCTACTTGCTACCACCGCTCGCCACTGAGTGCCATAACGTTAATTCAAGACCCTAAATTTAATGTGACGCCCCAAGCCCGAAACGTCCCTGCAGCCGCATGCGGTTAACCGGGGTTAGCGGGAAGGGATATTTTCTTGGTTCGTAGGCGAGGACAGACATGCATATTCCATGCTTGAAAAAAATTATCACAGGAAGCCAAAGCTCTGAGCAGTATAAAAAGCGAAAAGTCGAGATTGCGCCCAGCCTCAGAGCCCATTGAAAGGTCGGTCAAAAGTTCAAAAAAAGAAAATGCTGTACAGCATCGCCACGTTGATGCGGCGCTTTTTTGAATTTGATTCCGGATCCTCGTTTTTCACTCTTTCCCTTCTGGTCACCATAAAAGGGACGCTCGGTCGCTGGTTTACGACTCCCTCCCTAACGACGTCAGAAATGACAACCGTGCCGCCTCCAACGAGCTCATCATCCTCATCGCCCAACCTCACTTCGTCATCGTCATCCCCAACCTCGAACTACGCACCTCGTTCGCCGTCGTCAAGTCGCCTTTCATCATCACCATCTTCAATGTCAGTCTCTGGCATCAAACGTCCACGACCCATTCCCAACTCTTACTGGGCCACACCTCTTCTCCTCGCGTGCGAATACCCCTGGACTCCCAAAAACCCTTACAAACCCAAACTAGACGCTCTTCTCCTCGCAGGTGTAAGGACGTTCATCGATCTCACCGAAGACGGAGAACTATCACCTTACTACACCGAGCTCAGCAACAACAACGTTCTCTACCACCGAGCTGCACGTCTCGGTATTCCCGCTTCTGAAATTGAGTATCACCGATTTCCGATTCGAGATAGGTCGTTGCCTTCTTCTTTATCGTTGCTTCATTCTATTCTTTCCTGTCTTTCCGAAAATTCATCAGCCGGCCGAATTTCCGCTGTCCATTGCCGTGGTGGAATTGGTCGGACGGGTATGGTTATCGGATGTTGGTTGATACAGAGTGGTGTTGCGAGCGATGGGGAAGAGGCGTTGGAGATTGTTAGGAGAGAGTGGAGAGGAGTTGAGAAGTGTAAGAGGTATCCGTGTAGTCCTGAGACTGGGGAACAGGAAGAGTACGTGAGGGGTTTTAAGAGGGAAGTTTGTGAGAGGTTTGCTGGAGCGGTTGATAAGTTGGTTGTGGGTGTCAGTCGTAGTGTGGGTCAGGATCTTCAGGTGCCGCATGTTGTCGTGTTGTGAATGGGTGACCGGTGAGTGGTCTCCTCCGTTCGTTTATCGGGGAAGAACTGAATTTTTTTTTGAGTAGGCTAACCGCAGGACCACGGGTTCCTCCCATCATCTTTCTTTGACCCATTCCTTTTTTCTCCGAGTAAGCGCGGGTCTGTTGTTTCCCAGCTCATCGATGCATCGTTTATTTTCAGGTCTTTTTTTCTTCCTCATCGCAACTCTTTTCTCTCTCTCATGCATACGATACCCGCATCCCTCGCTTTCTCTCGACAATGCTATCATCATCTCTCGCCATCGCCTTAGTGCTGTACATACCTCTTGCAGACCGGGTCTGTCTCTACGCTTCAATTCCCTAGACCGGACGAAGGACAACACCACACACTTGCTGTTCAAGTGAAACCTCTTTTTTTTGTCGTCATGACGACGTACAACTATCAACTACGATAATTATGTTATGTATCGCTTTTCTTGGAAACCGGGCTGGACTTTTTTTTTTTTTTTTGGTCTCTTACGTACCCAAGTTTTTTTTTTTTGCTTTTGAGGCAAACTGGCCTTTTATTTCTTGGTTTTTCTCTCTCATGATCATCGTTGTATCGGTAGATCGTTGATGTATTTCAAAAGAATGATTTTCAGTGATTATCTCAATCACATACAAGACTTGTTTGACGCCAACGCAGAATTTTGGAAGATGCGGGATTTGGAATTGGAGCGTTATATAAAGCTTGGACTGATGTTAATAAAGTACCGCATTAATGGGGTAGTGGTAACCTGGGTCGTTGCCATTATATAGTTGGACAACTTGATCTGCTCGACCCGCCGGGGGTTCGATTCCCTCTTAATGCACTTTTTAAGAATAGGAGGAATTTTTTGATTCTCTTTTTTTCTTTTTTTTTTTTTTTTTTTTGGGAAATCGACACGAAGTGAAGTCTGAGTGTGATTTATTCCCAAGTCCCATTGGAACGATCGAAGGTCCAAAAAAATGAGAGAATATTTTTAGCTACTTATGATGACAGCGTATGCTTGGCTCGTCGGTGATTTTTCTGACTTTGTAAAACGGTCATGACCGGCCCCTATGATTTTCATCAAAGGAACTTACAACTAGGCCTGTGACCGACCCCTCACAAGAAACTCGTTGTGAGGGGCCTGGAGCGCGGAGTTTAAATTGGCTGGAGACACGGATAGGATCACGTGTACCCAGTTTTCACCCGTTCCGAAACGCGTCGCGACTTTCTCCAACGCGATTTTCTTTCCGTCCGTTGTGAAAAAAGACATGATAGACATCAAGTACAGAGCTAAGGTTTTAGAGAATTTATCTAGGCAGCAATTTGTAGGCATATTGAAAGTAGATGGAGAAAAATAAATGCTTGGTATGACACCCCCTCAGTGTAGATATCTATGTTGAAGCTTAAAAATGCTGCCCTGTGTTTTCTGTTGCCTATCTTTACCCATTCATTGATGATTCTTATGTACAAGTGAGCCTTGGAACGCACTGAACGCGCTCTGGAGGGAAATCATTCAGCCACGTGGATTCTCGATCATAACTGACAATCCTTTTTTGGACGAATCCG